ACAAAGTAAAGAATGACAAGGGGTTCATGACTGGGGGAAAAGTGCGGCAATATCCCTAGTTTGTCACACTATTCCACACTTCCACACCTCTGGGAAGTGTAGAACTAAGTAAAGAATGACAAGGGGTTCATGACTGGGGGAAAAGTGCGGCAATATCCCTAGTTTGTCACACTATTCCACACTTCCAGACCTCTGAGAAGTGTGGAACTAAGTAAAGAATGACAAAGGGTTCATGACTGGGGGAAAGTGCGACAATATCCTTACTTTGTCAGACTTTTCCACACTTCCAGACCTCTGAGAAGTGTGGAACTAAGTAAAGAATGACAAAGGGTTCATGACTGGGGGAAAGTGCGACAATATCCTTACTTTGTCAGACTTTTCCACACTTCCAGACCTCTGAGAAGTGTGGAACTAAGTAAAGAATGACAAAGGGTTCATGACTGGGGAAAAGTGTGACATTATCCTTACTTTGTCAGACTTTTCCACACTTCCACACCTCTGAGAAGTGTGGAACTAAGGATGAAAAAGGAAAGTAGGGATCTTGTGGCCAGCACTGGACATTTGTGGGGTAAACATGGGTAAACAGGATATACAAGGGTATACAAGGTATACAGTATTACTAGGGTAAACATGGGTACACAGGATATATAGGGGTATACAGGGTATACAGTATTACTAGGGTAAACATGGGTACACAGGATATACAAGGGTATACAGGGTATACAGTATTACTAGGGTAAACATGGGTACGCAGGATATATAGGGGTATACAGGGTATACAGTATTACTAGGGTAAACATGGGTAAACAGGATATACAAGGGTATACAAGGTATACAGTATTACTAGGGTAAACATGGGTACACAGGATATATAGGGGTATACAGGGTATACAGTATTACTAGGGTAAACATGGGTAAACAGGATATACAAGGGTATACAAGGTATACAGTATTACTAGGGTAAACATGGGTACACAGGATATATAGGGGTATACAGGGTATACAGTATTACCACGATAAACATGGGTACACAGGATATATAGGGGTATACAGGGTATACAGTATTACTAGGGTAAACATGGGTACACAGGATATATAGGGGTATACAGGGTATACAGTATTACTAGGGTAAACATGGGTAAACAGGATATACAAGGGTATACAAGGTATACAGTATTACTAGGGTAAACATGGGTACACAGGATATATAGGGGTATACAGGGTATACAGTATTACTAAGGTTAACATGGGTACACAGGATATATAGGGGTATACATGGTATACAGAATTACTAGGGTAAACATGGGTAAACAGGATTTATAGGGGTATACAGGGTATACAGTATTACTAGGGTAAACATGGGTACACAGGATATATAGGGGTATACAGGGTATACAGTATTACTAGGGTAAACATGGGTACACAGGATATACAAGGGTATACAGGGTATACAGTATTACTAGGGTAAACATGGGTACGCAGGATATATAGGGGTATACAGGGTATACAGTATTACTAGGGTAAACATGGGTAAACAGGATATACAAGGGTATACAAGGTATACAGTATTACTAGGGTAAACATGGGTACACAGGATATATAGGGGTATACAGGGTATACAGTATTACTAAGGTTAACATGGGTACACAGGATATATAGGGGTATACATGGTATACAGAATTACTAGGGTAAACATGGGTAAACAGGATTTATAGGGGTATACAGGGTATACAGTATTACTAGGGTAAACATGCGTACACAGGATATATAGGGGTATACAGGGTATACAGTATTACTAGGGTAAACATGGGTACACAGGATATACAAGGGTATACAGGGTATACAGTATTACTAAGGTAAACATGGGTACACAGGATATATAGGGGTATACAGGGTATACAGTATTACTAGGGTAGACATGGGTACACAGGATATATAGGGGTATACAGGGTATACAGTATTACTAGGGTAAACATGGGTACACAGGATATATAGGGGTATACAGTGTATACAGTATTACTAGGGTAAACATGTGTGCACATAAGATATATAGTGGTATACAAGGTATAAGAGATAACATATGAGGGAGTCTATATGGAGACTGCCATATAGTGGTATACAAGGTATAAGCGATAACATATGAGGAAGTCTATATGGAGACTGCCATGAATTACTTGCCAACTTTTGAGGGCATTTGTTTCGCTCTTGCGGGTAAATTGTTTAATTTAGGTTTAAGCATATTTGTGAACATGTCAGCTGAATAACGCAACGCAAGACAGAAAAACGTCTTCCTGTAAAAACTGCCAAACCGAATTTCGTCGCCTTCTTGTTGTCGGGAACAGCTTCTTCGTTCGCTTGTGAAATTTAGGTGAATTTCTTCGATTGTTTATACGGTAGCAAACCTGGAATCAGAGCGCGCGAACACATTATGCAGTCTGTTTCAGACAAAATTGAATTATTTTGGTTTCGTTTATACTTGTCTCCAGCCTATGCAACTTTGGTGCCGGCGAGGGCAATGTATGATTTTTATTTCCTTTAGTCTTGAAAGAGTTAACACTTTTGAAGTTCGCTTGCTTTCGCTCTTACCCCCAGTCAGTGACCGAAAGATAATTCGAGGAAACAACACCAGGGTAATTTGTCCCCCACCCTCCCTCCCTCCATTTCACTATTTAGCATTTCTTCGTTTTCCTCGAATTCGGAGTTGGCTTTCGGGAAGTGTTGTTGAACCGCAAAGCAAGTGGCTTGCTCCCTTAGAGAAGTCTGAATTGACCAATCGTTATTAATGCCGTGCAGTGACGTTATTACCAGAAAACTGTACTGGGTAGTAATTTTTTGATCGTCCAAGCATTCGCATACTATGTATAACAAAATATTGTAAGAAATTTTCAGGGGCACCCAACGAGGATATAGTTCAAAAGCACTTAACATAGCATTGTTGAATGTATTTTAGTATTTAAACGGTAGATATAGGCATATTTTTATCCCCTAAAAACTTTTCATCTGTTCGGATTTCCTAGCTGAAAGTCTAGTGATCCGAAAATTATAGGGATCAAAACTTACCTTTTCGAAAATTTCAGCCAGGAAAAGGCTCCTGAAAATTCTAGGCGGCCTTTTTTAGGGTAAATATCCGTTTAAAATGGGTAATTATACCATTTTGTAGATGATCGAAAATCCTAGGAGAGGCAGGCAAGCAAGAAATTTTACAACAAATGTTCCGAAAATTCTAGTTCTCAAATCGTCTTCCGAACAGATATTTTCCCGAAAATTGCCGTTGGGTGCCCCTGAATTTTAGCGGGACTAGTACTGTTGTTCGACATTCAGCGGAATGCACGCATGAAGGCAGTCAAAATATTTCGACAATCTTTATCGTGGACAGCAAAATTGCCCTTGTCTTCGAAACTACGAGTTGTTTAATTGAACCACGAATGAAGAGTAATGCGGAAAGTCGGTAGCTTTTCATTTAAAGCAGCTATGTGATTTCGGCAGTGATTTCGTTTATGCCGCGAAGCATCAGCAATCCATTTTTGGTAGAAAGAAAGACCTGGTCTTTTTCTGTTATTCGTGAATACGCGAGAAGTTTCTCGAATTTTCGACAAAGTTTAGCAGTATCACATCGTGCAGAAGGTTTTTTTGCGATGGTCTGACCTCATATACAACAACTGACAAATTGGCTGACACAGTGCTACACAGCTGTTTTTAGTGTCGTCACGCAACGCTACTCTCCACAAAAAAAAAATAAAATAAATAAATAAATAAATAAAATAAAATAAACTTCAAATGTTTCTTGCTAGGAAACACACTGTTACACACTGTCGTTGCGTTGCGTTATCTTTCGTACACACAAGCTGTTTTGCACAAGAATTCGTACCAAAAAGCGGACGCAAGCGACCCCGACAAGTTTCTAATGTATACAAAAGACGAACTAAACGCAATACACGTCCATGGTACAAAAGATACAGAGACTGGAGGCAAGGAAAATTAAAATGAACAATTTTCGACAAGCGCGGCAAATTTGCAGCTTCTTCACAGTTTCTTCTCGAGTTATTGCTTTACTGTAGATCAACACGAATTGATCTGACTTCCGTGCATCTGGCGACTTTCTCGGAGGTCGTAATTTAGCAAGCTATACTTTAAGAAACATGTGAACATATGGAAATAAAAGTAACAATAATAAATAAAATTCACTGAACCGTCATATAACTTCGGTTTCCCTCCTTGCTTAGTATAGGAAGACAACACTTTAAATATTGGCCCTGGTTAAGAGATTTAGCTGCGGGGCTTTTCAGTATACCTTGTTATTCGAGCGAGCTGGCGATGTGATAGTTCCCACCGGTAAAGAGGCATAGCTTGTGTACGCCGCTGGCGAAGAAAACTGATTCCAACCCCTGAGATGAGAACGTAAGATGTAAATATGAGTTTCGAAATGTTACTATGTCCTTTGTTAGATATGCGACTCAGACGTCAGTGGAGTATCATCTAATCTCAATTTCTTTTAACACTTGTTGGCAACATATGTCACCACGAAACATACCGTTCCGGTGTCCGCCATTTTGCTCTAGTATAATTTGTTGTATATGAGGTTAGAATATCCCAAAAATCCTTTCGCGCGATGTAAAACTGCTTCACTATCTCGAAAGTTCGAGAAACTTCTCGTGAATTCACGAATAACAGAAAAAGATCGGGTCATTCTTACGTATCTTACGAACCAGTGACGAATGATTTAATTTTAGTACCTGGCATCGATACTTCAAGAAAGTAATTTTTCGAGAAACTTCGGGTCTTTTCGCGAAAATCAAAAGAAAAAAAAAAATTGGGCATTATTACAAAACGCTGACTATGGGTATTTAATTTTAGTAACTATCGACGGTTCGAGAAAGAAATTTTTCGCTATAAAAGTGCGTTTCAGGCTCACCGACAAACAGTTCAAAACGTTCTCGGAAGAATCAAGATTTGGCAGGAGATTTTCAAGGAGTGGAATTACAAGCAAGGGTTTCTATAACATGGCTCTCGTTTTCGGATTTCCATCCTATTATCCCACGTACCGGTAAGTTTTTTACAAAGCTTCATCGTTTTAAGACTTCTTTCTATAAGCGTTAGTCACTAAATAAACTTAACGTCTCCTCACCTTAAATCTTCACTGAGTTAAATTTTTGAGTTCTGAAATGCAAGCTTTCATTAAAAACGACTGACGACAAGCAAGAATTCTCAGTCAGAAGTATTATTGAGAAATCAAGGGAAAAGAAAACTGAAAGTACCTGAAAATTAGGATTTTTGTGTGAACAAAATTGCGCAATAACTCAATTCTTATGACAAATGTGAGGAAATCTGTTAGTGTAAAAAAAATACCAGTTAATAATTAAAAAACGTTTGAGGGATGCAGGTTAAGTCAGTCTTACCGACTTTACTGTCATTTTTCTCATTTATTTCTACAGCAGAGACTATGATGAAGCTGTTCCAGGTTTTGGGTTTTTGCCTGATCTATGGAGAGAGATAGCTCTTGCTTCTGACGAGCAGGCGCGAGACACTAGCTTTCAACACAGCCAAAATAAATTGGCAGTGCAGAGCCCAATCAAGATTGCTTCTCTGCCACTAAAGCAGTACAAGCCAGAAGACATTTCACTCGATGTGGACGGCGAAAATATCATCTTACATGGTCAGCATCGATCAGAGAGAGAAGATGGATTTGAGAATAATGAGTTTAAAAAGATTATTAAGCTGCCAGATGGAGTTGATCCTACAACAGTGAAATCGCGAGTAATCAAAACTCTGAACAAAGGCAACGTTCTTGTCCTTGAAGGCGACAGGCGCGTTGAAGAAAAAGCAAAACAAGACGATGGCAAGTTCGTGGTTAAATTGGATCTGCGAGGATTTAAACCAGAAGATATCAAGGTCCAGCTTCGTGGACATGAGCTCGCAGTTACAGGAAAACACAATTCAGAAGACCAAGGTTTCTATTTTTCACGTGACTACAGTAATCGCGTTTTGTTGCCTGATGACGCAGACCTTGGTTCAGTGACGTCACGCCTCTCCAAGGAAGGCTTGCTGATCATAGAAGCGTCACGTGACCCAGCTTTGTTACCAAAGGAACGAAACGTGGAAGTCTCCATGGAACTTGATGAGCAAGAACCTGAAGAGGAGGCCAAACCAGTAACAACTGGTGATACATAAGAACAGAACAAAAACTGAATGAACTATGGTGGCTTATTGTAAGGCATTACCTACTCTTTAGCAAAACATGTTTAACTTCTGTTATATTTTTTGTTAAAAGTCTTAAGGGCTAGAAACATAGAGCAACATTTCAGTATGCGTAGTATCAGCGTTTTTTCGAGCAATTTACCACCTCTTAGAGGATAACAGGCTTATTCTGATAATTTTTGAGAATTGTAGAGAGTTAGTTTATAGTTTCACTTGCCTTTTTTGTTAATCGTTTTAAAAAAACGAAACAATTAAGGATGATAGTAATAATAGTGTTTATAATTTTTTTTTCTGTTTCGGTTTCTGTCTTTTAGTAGGGGTTTTTTGTTACGCTAGAGTTTTTTGCCCCATACAATTTGTGAAAATGTTATTTTGTGTTTATTCGTTAATACCTCTATAACTTATTTTAGGCTCGCAGTGTTTTGCTTTTTAGTTTTTTGAGTTTTCAATAGATAAATTAAGTTGTCGAATATTACGCCTACAGCATAGTCACAAAGGCATAAGTTCTGTAGTTGAAGTTGATGGAATAAAAGTTGGAAAACGAGTAAATGTGACTTATCTTGCATTTTTATCGTTGGTCGTTGATTAGAGACTTTAGTCCTTTTCCAAGAGACATTATACCTAGGACGTTTAGCGAAATTATCTCTTAAAAAACAACGGGCTGGTTTCATTTGCATGGTGTTTTCCTTTACAACTATAGAGTAGGTGTGCTACAGCGTCCTTTACATGGTTAAGGAGACTGGGAGAGTTCTCTCTCCGTATTATTCGGCATCTTACTCTTTCTACAGAAAATCGGAGGCGAAAGAGGTAAAACCTTTATTTATATACCAATATCAAACCTAATTTGTCACAGACACCTCGATACTAAGTACTTTAAGGAGGGTCTCAATGGGGTAGTAACTCATTTGTCAGCGATTCGTAAGAATTATTGGTTGTTTTTCTGTTACTCGTGAATAAAGGAGTAGTTCAGTTCTCGAACTTTCAGGAAAATCCAGCGGCCGTCGGTTTACTAAGCGCGAAAGGTTTAGGTGGTAGTCTGACGTCATTAGCCTAAAAGAACAAAATGGTTTTTACAACAAACACTTTGTTCACACTCCTGGGCTCGTAAACCACGCAGGTGCTATGTGCGTAGCTTCATCAAGAATTAAGAGAAGCCATAATAATGCGAATAGCCTTCTCTCAATTGTACTCTTAAATGATCTTTCCGAATGGCGCAAGTTAGTTGTAATAAACTATATCTACTTTATGTGATAAAGCACCAAGTGCAATCGAGTCGTGCTTTGTGTTCATGCATTGAAGTTGAGCTTTCATCATCTAGACGTTTAGTGTAACTATACCTCCTTGTTAAGATTTTTTTTTTCATGGGGGTCGGATGGATTTAGAGGTCAGGGATCTCAGAAAACATGGCCATTTCCCTTTTTAAGATGCTGGTGCGTAGTATCTGGCATAAATTTAATGACCAAAAACCTCCCCTATAGTCAAGCCATATGGTGAAAACATTGTGCACTTAGCGTTAAAAGCACCAAATTTGGCATGGTAATGGTACTTTGGCTGCTGAACAATATTAGCCATGGGCCCCAGTCAGGGGGGACATTCTGTATTCAGGTGGGTGGGGTTGTTTCAGTTTCCAAACTAACTGCTGTTATTGAAAAGAAAGCTGCAAAGTTAAGCCGATCTTGCCATATCAATAAGTCGTGGTGTCCTAAGGAAGTTTAACAAGGTCTATTTAATCTAACTTTCTAGGTGGCGTGGGGGAAAGGTTCTAACACAGCTTAGTGGGAGGGGTAGGAGAATCTCTGTATGCATGTATGTATAAGTTTCTCTTGTGTAGGCCTCTCCCGATTGCGCTTGTAAAATCCTAAAAAAATGCTGGCAAAAATGGCTAAAAAGTGCTCAAAAAGTGCTCAAAATCTCAAAATAGTGCTCAAAAGGTTTTAAAAGTTGGAACAGTTACCTCTAAGCTTTTTGTAATATGTCAATTTTTACTGAAGTAATTAACAATCTATTTTGCGTAGTGTTTTTCGACAGGTTGTTACGAAAGGTTGATAGAATATAGGACAATAATATTTTTAAAAAACTAAAGCCGGTTACGAATTGTAAATTAATTCAGTAGTACTAGCATCGAATGATTTAGAAATTTGAAATGACACACGCATGATACATCAGCCAATCAGAAACTTTTGGTCTCACGTTCAGTGAGGATAAGTCCACGTGCCTTTCCATGACAACAGTCTTTTATTCTTGACAACTTCATTAGTTATTCAAATTTATGACCTGGAACACGATTCTCGTTGCGAGCGACACACAGTTTTTGCTTTAAAATGTTTTAGAAGACATATGTTGCTCGAAATTTGTTCGAAATGTGAAATATTGCTCAAATGTTGCCCAAAGTGCGAAAAAGTGCTTAAGGGTGCTCAAAATGCAAAATAGAGCTCCAAACTCAAAAAAGTGCTCAAAAGGTGCTCAGCGCAATCGGAAAAGGCCTACTCTTGTGAGGAAGAGTACAATGACCTTTCCAGAATTCTGGCATAATTTTAAATCATTTCCCGATTGGTTTCTCCTCTCAACTTATCCTTCATCTAAATGGTAGTGGTGATGGTGGTGGTGGTGGTGTTTATGGGGGGAGGGGGGGTGTGTTCGTCCTGGTGTAGTAAGCACATGTTTCAACCTGTGGAAATAAACTACATGATTTAAGGCACTCTTTTAGGCTATTTAATCTCCTGATCATCGTTGCACCATTCATAAGAGTGTAGCAAGGGGGGAGGGGGGGTCCTGGTCCCGTTTCACGTTAAGTTTTGACAAATTTCAGGTATCACGTGCTCTATAAACCAATTTTCACGATTCATGAATTTAGTCGTCAAGTTCACCCGTTACTCAAAGGGGTAAAGAACCGAAACCACAGTCATCATGGATCGTACTTCGCAATTCAGTCAACGATGGCAGCGTCTTTTCTTATCAGCAAGTCGGCAAGGTGACCTTAAAGGTTGTTAACGAGCACTCGAAACCATCGTCTCATTGACAAATACAAGGAATTAGTCGGGTCTATTGGTACGAAGCTACCGCTCCAGGCGACACTGAGGAGATAACCCTTCCAGAGCGAGTGCGAATTGATCACAACAGAAAATTAATCGCATTGCTGTCAAGATCAGAAGAATCTCCTCGGTCTTCTTCTGAGTTCCGTTCGTGTCATTGTATTCCATCTTAACTCTCTCTCCAACAGGTAATTCTTTTGGTACATGTTTAAGGGAAGTGTTCCCGCAGAATCCTTTGGGGTGCACTGCATCGCTTTTCCATGCCCCGTTGCCCATTGTCGCATTACTCTTTGGTTACCAAAGACATCTTTGCTAGGCAACTCTCTTGGTGCGCTGATATAGTGGGGAAGTTCTCAAGGTTTCTTCACTTTTGAGGAAATAGCCGGAACCTTTTTGGCATCATTGACTCTTTTACTCCAATTTGTGTGTTCAGACATTAGGACAACAAATCTCTCAAGCACCGAGGCATAGTGTCTTGAACACCCTTCAAAGTTTCCTAAGGGATGCAAAAAGTTCAGTGGCTTCTCTATAAGGCAGCCTTGTGGCCCAGGTTGTTTTCTCTTCCTAAGAAAGCCCATGTCTAATTGCATTTTGTGATTGCGTGATAAAAGTACAACACCTTATAACAATTTTCATATCTCGAGAGTCCTTATGATTGCTGTGCCATGTAAAGAACCAATCACAGGGGGAAGAACTGGGGTTATGGTCGATTTTATCGACACCAGGAGACTTGCATAAATTTGAAGTGGATTCATATGATGAATCTTTGCGACGTCGAATCACAAAGTTAAATCTTAAAAGCTATAAAGAGCAGCTCGATTCTGTATGATGTTGCTTGACTGTGTCTCAGTACTATACTACTTCCATCGGACCAGGATGATCTCAATTAAACTTCTTGAACTGAGAGATGTGACGCTTCTTCACTATCAGTGTTTCTTTCTGTGGCGTTCTTCTAAACAATTGCATGGTCTTCACTTTAGGCAAGAGAGACTTCAACACCATCTGTACATCAGGGGCGTAGCTAGGGGGGTCCTGGGGTGCCCGTGACCCCCTCCCCCCCCTTGGTAGGCCTTCTTTTGACCGAACAACCTACAATATTCAGGTGGCGAAAACGCCATGACAACATCTTGGCCGTAAAAGCCATCGTTGAAAAGCCCACTTTTTTTAAATTTGTTTTTTTGTAAAGTATTTTCGTCAACGGCCTTTGTCTTTAGTTAATATGGGCCTTCATGCCACGATAATACGACTGAGGCCGCTGATACACGTGGGAGAGCAGCGGTATAAACCATATATAGTCTGCGATCCCCGGATGGTGTCCCTGTCTGTGACCCGCCCTTTAAAAAATCCTGGCTACGCCCCGGTACATGGCGTTAAATCCACACATTGCGATTATCAAATGCTCTTTATGTGTTTAAGATTCATTGTGCTGTGATCTTGCTGTGAAATATCACAGCAAATATCACACTGCTCCAGTCTTGATACGTTCAAAAAATCTGAACACTGAATAATCTGGATCACTTCGGTTTCTTCGAGGAACTGAAGAAACCAGTTCTGCGAGGGCAGTGCCGGTGTAGCATATGAAGTCATCATAGGTTTGTTTCAAGGTTTGAGTTTTTCCTCCTGGCATGCATAACTGGTATTGCATCAAGTACTACAAAACCTGCACTTAATAGTTTTTGAGTAGTGTGTTGTCTTAAAGGATGCGAGAAATTTCTCTTGTGTTTCACTTAGGATAAAAGTAGGGGTACTGTAAACTGATGTGAACTATAGGCTTTTTCGTTCTTTACTCCCTTTTCTCCTAAACTCAGCACTTTTATTTTTGATAATATTATTGTAAAGATAATAATAGAGTGTAAGTGAGATCAATATATTATTGAAAAAGAGAAAAACCAAAGGTTACGGAGAGAGGGCGACAACGATGGAAGATGAACACGCTTTTACTTCAACGCTGTGCTTTGCGCAAGTTTCAAGTGATAGATGTTCGAAACACGCGTGATCAGATTCTAAGTGACGAGAGAAGATCCAAATGTGAGTGATCAAATTTGTTTCTATGAATTTCATTGACATTCTTATAAATGGAAGTCCAAACGAATGCTGGCTACATATACATGCGATGCATGCATAATAATAACCTGGAGATGAAAACTGCGGGCTACTCTTGTCGCCCGCAATAAAGTGGTTAATAACTCCCCGTTGCATGGAAATTAAAATAATAGGACCTACTCGATCACGCTCTGAAGGTCTCTGTAAGTGCCTCATGTTTTATTTTTGCAGTAGGTTTGCTGAGCAATTAAATTCTCAAAAAGTGCAATTCACTCCAATCAAAGTATAAAAATGAAACATCTTATCTTTCCAAGCGTGAAAAACAGCATAGTGCCGCAGAAACAAGAGAGTAAGAACCTGTAAGAAGACCAGCCATTCCTGTCCGCCATGTTGAATTTTTTTGAGTAGCCTGGCCTTTTGTATCGTCCGTATGCAGTCTTGTTTGTTCCACCAGGAAGTGTCTCAAAAATATTAAT